GTAAGGTGGTGCACTCTGAGGGGGCCCGGAGCCCTTGACTGCTGAGAAGTATCAGCTGTTAGGGAAACCAGGTCGGGAGAGGCCAGCAAATGCCCACACGTCAGGAGCAGTGGAGTGGCATATAAGAAAAGGTGCTACGTATACACCATGGAATACTATGCAGCCATAAAAAACGATGAGTTCGTGTCCTTTGTAGGGACATGGATGAATCTGGAAACCATCATTCTCAGCAGCAAACTGACACAAGAACAGAAAAACACCCCATGTTCTCACTCATAGGTGGGTGTTGAACAGCGAGATCACATGGACACAGGGAGCGGAGCATCACACACTGGGGTCTGTTGCGGAGGAATAAGGGAGGGACAGTGGGGGGTAGGGAGGTTGGGGAGGGATAACATGGGGAGAAACGCCAGATATAGGTGACGGGGGGATGGAGGCAGCAAACCACATTGCCATGTATGCACCTATGCAACAATCCTGCGTGTTTTGAACAAGTACCCAGAACCTGAAGTGCAATGAAATAGATATATAAAAGAAAAGTAGAGGTGCTAGATGTCCTGCTGAGGTTGCTGCTTGCTTTCAATAAGCAGATGATCTTACCATCACACTGTGGGCTCGGCAGCCCATTTTGCAGATTTGGACTTGCCAGTCTGCACATTGGTATGAGACAGTTCATCGTAATAAATCGCTTTCAGTATATCCACCCATCCTGTCGGTTCTGTTTCTCTGAAGAACCCTGACTAATACAGGGGCCAAGGAGAGACATGTTCTAATGTACTTGCCTATGAAAAACAAAAATATTCTTGAGTACTTCAGAATTTTCTTTTGAAAGGGAGGCAGTAATGTCAGTAAGCTTATCAGGATACTTCAATCAAAACACAGGGGTTTTGGTAAATGAAAATTCATTTCCCGTAATCATGTGAAAGAAATATGGGAAATATTTGTTGACATCATTTATACGTAAATGCTAGTGAACCCCAAACCTTCTCAGCAACACTTTTAATTCTCTTCGTATTAGAATCATGACTAATAGCTGAACCTTATAACTTCTGTGTTCTTTCTTTGAACATTATTTCAGAATGAGCAAGACTATTAAAACTCCAAACATGGTCTTTGTTTATTGTGTAAAATATTCCAATATTATTTGAAGTGATACATAATTTGAAATATAGTTTGACTAAGCATCAATGGTTTCTCTCCATAAAGGTTACCCCTTTCTTTCTGAGCAGTGACAAAGAGGAAAGAGCAAGGAATTCTGGTGCCAGTCATATCTCAGTTCAAATCCTGGTTGTACTACTTATTAGCTATCTATGGACAAGGTATCATCTGCACTCCTCACTTGAAAAATGAAACAAACAATGACTTCCTTTTGTGAGTTGGGAAGATTAAATGAAATAAATTGTATGAAAGGGTCCATGAGAGAGTGCAAGGCACACAATATATTCTTAATAAATCTAATTTTCCATTCTTTTTAGAGTTCATAGTTACAATTTTGTAGTTTTATTATTCATGTTTCTATAGATCTTATGGAATCTAGAATGTTTACTAGTGGCTAAAGGCTTCAAGATCAGTACTTTTATATATCAATGTATCAAGATCAATATTTTTATATATCAGTATATCAAGATCAATATTTTTATACACAGGTAAACTGAGCTCACAGAGGATTTTCTTGGCATTAGGACACAGAGTTAGTTGGAGAAAAGTAGGAGCTATTTGTTTTGAAAGACAAAGTAGAACATAGTGAAATAATAGCTTTGTTATATGATAGATCCAGCTATGACTCCAAACACCACTTTCTAGCTTTGAGATACTGGAAAAAATATCTTTTTGTATGTGTTTAAAAATGCTTTATTTTAGGCCGGGCGCGGTGGCTCACGCCTGTAATCCCAGCACTTTGGGAGGCCGAGGCTGGTGGATCATGAGGTCGAGAGATCGAGACCATCCTGGTCAACATGGTGAAACCCCGTCTCTACTAAAAAATACAAAAAATTAGCTGGACATGGTGGCACGTGCCTATAATCCCAGCTACTCAGGAGGCTGAGGCAGGAGAATTGCCTGAACCCAGGAGGCGGAGGTTGCGGTGAGCCGAGATCGCGCCATTGCACTCCAGCCTGGGTAAACAAGAGCGAAAACTCCGTCTCAAAAAAAACAAACAAAACAAACAAACAAAAAAAAAAGCTTTATTTTTAAAAATAGGGTTATTGGCCCCATGTGGTGGCTCATGCTTGTAATCCCAGCACTTTGGGAGGCTGAGGTTGATGGATCCCTTGAGTCCAGGAGTTTGATACCAGCCTGGGCAACATGGAAAAACCCTGTCTCTCCTCCACTACGCTCCAGCCTGGGTGACAGAGAGAGACTCCAGAGAGACCTTGTCTCAAAAACAAAACAAACAAAATAAGTGTAATAATATGTACTGATAAGTTATAAAAATTAGATGATACAATGTAAATACATGCTCAACAAATGAAGGTAATGATAATCTGCACAATTATTTGATTATTCAACTTTACGTACAAATATCTGACATTTTCCTTCCCCTGATGACAACAGAAGTGTCTGAATTAACACTCTTACCTGAAAACCTCCTTCAGAGTTACTTCAAAGCAATAATGAGAACAGTAGGTTACCTAACACATGAGTTCCACTTTAATAGGAGGCTGTTTCCAGAAAATTCCAAGCAACATACAATAAGCATCTTCAGTATGTGTCGGGCTGTTGACATTTGAAGAAGGACATCTGGGAAGTTGTTTTCTTAGGATTAGCGAAGCTTTTAGGTTCATTTTCCCAGTTTTTCTTACTAAATCTCCTGCTGAATACCAGTGCAGGCTGTTTGCTGTGTGTTGAAGTCAACAGCACAATGTTACTTAAGAACTTTTTTTTTTCTATTCTAAACTACCTGGTTTGTATTGGGTTGGTTATTTTTAATAATACAGTGCTACAATTAACCATACCTACAGACTCAAAGGCCCCCAAATAAGTTTTGAATATGAACAACCTTCTGTCTTCTGCAGTATCAACCTTGAAATTGTTTTTCCTTAATGCATTTCATAATCTTATCTTCCCAACTCCCCAGTACACTCCTGCTACAACACTAAGACCCCAAGTATTTTGGTTCCCAAATCTCATACCCTTTCCTGCTTATGACTATCTTAGTCTGAACCTTAGGCCCAGAACTGAGCACACAGCAATGTTAAATGTTTGCTTTTATTATTGTTGTTGTTATACTGCCTGTAAACTCAACCCCCTTTCAAGGCTGAATTCAGATCCCTCCCCTTCATTCTAACTTCACGCCTTAAAACTACTGTTGCATCTAATACTTTATTTTACTCTATTCACCCGCTCTATAACCTACTTTCGTTTCCTATCTTAGCTTTATTTCCCCCTCCAGACAAGCTTTTAAGGACTTATATATTTTACTTTATTTATGATTTTAAAATCTGTTTGAGAGCATAGTGTTTATGTGAACCTATATACATCAAAGTAAAGATACATAAAGATACACACACACACACACACACACACACACACACACACACACACAGGTTCAAAACTATTTAGATCCTTCCATTGCACTGCACAATCTCATTATGAGGTTTCCAGTTTGCATGTAGTTTGATGCTTAATGTTTTTTGATTTGAGACCAGTTGTTAGGGTACAGATCTGGGTTAGGAATTGAGTCATAGGTGTTCTACTATCCACTGCTCTAATAGGATCTAGCCTCTGCAGATTTCTCTTTCTCAATTTAAAGCATAAATATTATTATTATATTATTATTATTATATTGCTATTATTATTATTATATTGCCTGTATACTCAACCCCCTTTTAAGGCTTAATTCAAATCCTTCCTCTTTGTCTAAATTCATATCTGGCTTCCTTACAGCTACTATATCTTATGACTACAATCTTTTTGGTCCTCTGGTTGTAAAATAATCACCCCACGAATATATGTATACATCATATTGGTAGGTGGCCACTCAGGGTTCAGGTTCCAATACTTGAAACACAATGTATTCATGTTGTATATTCAGCATTTCTAAGACCGAGCACACTGTTTCTTCCTTTGCCTAACTTCGTGCTTTGGGATCCTTGTTCTGGGTAATGATAGCATCATCTGCTTAAGAGCAAAGCTAGAAACCCTAAGTCTGGCCACCCACCTTCCTCTCTCTTACTGCTAACATCAGATGGGTCACCAGAGGTTAAAGGTTCTCTCTGTAAATGTAACTTGAAGGCAAGGTGCTTACTCAGCTGCTAGTAGATCTTACACAAGTAACATCAGGAATCATTATAGAACTTTCATTTGCAAAACCAACAAATACTTTCCTTCTGCTCCCCTTACGTGATTTCTGAGGGTTAAATAAAACAATATTCCTGAAAGCAAGCCAAAAATTTGCAAAAGGTTGAACAAATATAGACTATTGTTGTTGTTATTAAATAGAGTAAGTTGGTCATTTTCATAATATCTCTTTTCCAATAGACATTGCTTTTTAATTTTCTTTTATGGAACATTCATTTCTTTTCTTTTTTCTTTTTGAGACAGAGTCTTGCTCTGTTGCCCAGGCTGGAGTACAATGGTGGGATCTTGAGTCACTGAAACCTCTTCCTCCTGGGTTCAAGCGATTCTCCTGCTTCATCCTCCCAAGTAGCTCGGATTATAGGTGCCTTCTAGTATGCCCAGCTAATTTTTTTTTTTTTTTTTTTTTTTTTGTATTTTTAGTAAAGACAGGGTTTCACCATATTGGTCAGGCTGGTCTTGAACTCCTGACCACAGGTGATCCACCCACCTTGGCCTTCCAAAGTGCTAGTATTACAGGCATGAGCCACTGCACTCGGCCTTATTTTCTTCCTTTAAAAAATTAGGCCATTACTAAAGTAAGAAGTTAACTTACACTTCTTTATGACAAAATATGGGAAATATAATGTAAAAACTGAGATTAAAGGGAACTGTATTTTATGATTTTTACTTTGTGTACAAATCTCTGTGTCACATCATTTCAGGTGCCTGTGGTAGCCATACTGGGTTCAGGTGGGGGTTTCCGAGCCATGGTGGGATTCTCTGGTGTGATGAAGGCATTGTACGAATCAGGAATTCTGGATTGTGCTACCTACGTTGCTGGTCTGTCTGGCTCCACATGGTCAGTATGCATGTTTAATTTTAGTTTTATAATTTTAAATATTTAGGATTTATCTAATTCAAGCACTAGAAGAGAAATGAGGATTTAGAAAATTGAACATTAAATTACTGAAACTTCCCGGTTTGATGCCACAATCTGCTTTAAAAGATTTTTTAAAGACAAATTCATACCTAATAAATCGTAAATTTTGTTGCAAATTTACTTTTTTGAAGCCACTTTGTAACTTAAAATGTAGTTAAAACATTAAAAAGACAAATTGAAAATAATTCTAGATAAATATAGAAGTGGAACAACATACTCTACCCATAATTAAGTTAATCTTATAATTTGCTGATTTGTAGTCCTTCAGTGAACATGTCTAACTCTCCATGATTCACTGCATATTCATTTTCTTCTTTAGGGCAAATAGAATAAGGTGCAAAATACCCTAGTATACAGAACAAAGAAAACAATTTTGAATATGGAAATACTACATATTTCACTGGCTTTCGTCTAAGTAAATATGACATTAGTCCTTTAAATGTATGTAGGTGAAGACTTAAAACATCAGCTAAATTTAGGTGGAGACTTAAAACATCATATGTATAATACTTGTACCTTCTAGATTTTCGCAAATATATTTATAAAACATTTTCAGAAATGATACTACATACTTTTGGTTTGTTTACCTCACATAAGCACATTGAAAATCAAATAAAATCCTTGCTCACATGTCTCAAATAAGAGTATCACCTTATTAATGAAGATCTGTCTTGGACTTTCAAGGCCTTTTTATTCATTCGGCCAGGGCAAAACTCATCTATCAGATTATCATATTATGTAAGTCTAGCATTTTAAAGTTTCTGTGCCATTTTATCTTGTGAGACAGATATGAGTTTATTCATTTTTATGCTAAAGAAAATTTGACATAGAAGCCAAATGACTTGTCTAACATCACTAGTAGAGCTAGCATATAAACTCGGGCTTTTGATCTGTCATTCTGAGTTCTTTGTACTAAACCACACTTTTTTCTTGGACATATATATTTCATAGAGAATATCACATTTAAAATAATCTACAGTTTTTTTTTAAATGTTTTGAATCAGACTAGTTATGAGACAAAAACCTAGAGTCAGCGTTGCTGTCTTCTCTGTATGTACCCTCAAAATGATTTATTTCTTCTGAAAGAAGGGAGTAGCCCATCATCATTCTTTCCCTTGAAGGAAAGAGCAGGCATCTGCCTGTTTAATGAGTAATGTGTTAGAAAATCTTGGACCCTTCCATTAGTTCGCCTACTCAATCATTTTGTTATTATTCTTCAAGTGGTTTTCTTTCTTTATACTCATTATTTATGAGATCCCTGTTGTCCATCACTGACAAATGTAAGAAGCTCACTTTCTTAAACGCATCTAATAAAGCAAGACTAGACCTTGAGTGCTGATTTGGGGATGTAATTGTGTATGCGTGAGCTATATTAGAACTGCAGTTATTGCTTTGGTTATAGATTTGGTGCAGTATCTTCTTACATTCTCCTGTCAGTAAACATGTCCTGTAAAATGTAATTAAAGGATTTTAAATGTGCACACACACATTTACATATATATATATATATATATATATATATATGTATATATATATAGAGAGAGAGAGAGCGCTACACTGTGAAAGATAAAGAAGTATATATGTATCCTATAGAGATACATATATAGAGAGTAGAAGTATATCTATTCTCTCTTTATACTATATATATATACTTATAGAATATATATATATTTCTACTCTGTCTTTCACAGTCTTATTTCCTTAAAGATCAGCTTTTCCCTTTTTATTTCACTTCCTTAAAAGGCTGCTCACTCCTTGTAACAGATTGTCATTCACAGACCACTTAATTTGCGAAGTTCTTGTTTTCCGTGACTTCTTTGGATACGTGGAATGGACGGGGAGAGACTGGAGACTGAGACGTTTGGCACGTGGCTTTGTGCTTTTTTCTGATTGTTCCTATCGGGCCTCTTTGATTTTATTTCATCCTCTCTGGTCTCTCCTCCATACATTGTGCCTGCCACTTCCACAGTTTTTTCTCCTTAATGTGGGCTTTCCCTCAGGGCTTCTCTTTTGGTCTGTTATATCAATATGTCCTCCACAGCTAATTCCACCAAGTTCTGCCCTTTTAGCTTATTATCATCGAGAATTTAATTCATGGGATCCTATAACACTCCGAAACTTAATAGTTAAAAAGAAAATAAAACCCTAATGGAGGCTGCAAATAAGCTGTCATAGAGGCGAATCAAGTGAAAAATGAGATCTAGAGGGACGGATTTTTCAAGAAGGAGGGATGTTTTACAATGTTGAAAATCTGTGAAGACCTTAGCAAAGGACTGAGTTTGGTTAGTGGTTTTAGCAGGAACCACTGGTTAAAGTAATTAAAAGATCATTTTGAACATGAAATTGCAAAAAATAAGGGTTGAATAAAACATTAAAGTACAAAAAGTAGGAATATGACCTCATAAGAGCCATCTATTATTTCAAGTGCTTTGTTTGGAAGAGAAGGAGGGAGTCGTTGTTTGAAGGGAACATAAGGCCTGGGGAAGGGTGTTTATTTATTTTTTCACAATTTAAAAAAGTTGAGCATTTTTGTAGATGTCTGAGGTGTAGGAAATAGTGTCGAGGGATGGATGGAAGATAAATAGAAAGATCATCGATAGAAAAAGACCAGCAGAGACAGGACACAGATGGAAAGCACAGGTGAAGGTCTTAACCAAGGAAAGAAGAGATGCTCCCTGAGGCACAAGAAAAGGTGGTCAGGATGATTCATGGTCACAGTTCTCTCTTAAAAGTATAAGTAAGAAGGTAAAAAGTTCAAAGGAAGGAATTCAGAAGGGCTTGGAAAAACAAATTACGCTTCTGTGTTGTGTAACCTTTTATATTCTGCTGATACGTGGCTGTGATTTGGTGTAAGTGAGGTAATACGGAAATATCTGGAGAAGCCCTGGACCTCCCAGAAAGTTTTCTGTGATCATAAAAGAGAATTTTAGGTAGGACAAAGCTTCCCTTAGAGCTGCTACTACCTTTATGGTAATTACTTCTGAGATTCATTTTGGATGATACTTGTGATTCTTTGTAAGTATTAGCTAACCTGGAGAGCTGAAATGAGTGAACTAAAACATCAGGACAGTAATCCTGTGTTCTTTTACTCAGGATTAGCACAGCTTTCTTCCTCGACTGTTCTTCCAGGGGTGATTGGATGTTGCCTGCTGTGTTTGTACAGTATTGCCATCTAAAAAGAAATGAGAACAGCTCCGCATCTGTAGACAATATAGCCCAATTTACTGAACTAACTAAAACAGAATTTGAGAGTGAGAACATTCAGCTTAGTAGTACAAAAAATTGCTGGAACAATGAAAAAAGAAACAGCATTAACAGAAATGGCCACATAAGGTGTAACAGACTCCAAGGTCAATATTTGTTAGAGAACATTTGTTGTTTAAGGGCTAAGATCGTCTTGTTGCCTAGTGAATCTCTCTTACCTAGCAGAGTGCCTGACTTTCTTTAGGTCATAGTTGCTTAATCACTAAATGAAGAAATGTGTAAGTAGCTGCATTTTATGGAAAAATTAATTTAGGAGTTTTTAAAGGATTTTAAGATATTTGCTTAACAGGTGTTGAGGGTCTTCTGAAGAAGATTTGAGATTCCAAATCTTAGTTGCAGATGAAAATCACTTCTGCACTTTTTTAAGCCCTAAAATCCTAAATGTTTACCCCTGAAGGTTCGGATTCAGCAAGTCCTGGTGGTTAGCTACTGATATTTTAGAACATTGACCATTTGATTTGGAGACAGGCATTGAACTGAACATTTCTTCTTCTCTGGCTGATTTACGTCTAAAATGTCACACGACCTAAAATGCATTTAGATAAAGAGAATGAGGTGTCCTCTCTTATAAATATGGTGAAAAATTAGAGGCAAATGTTTACAGATTTATTGACAAATAAACCTAAGACCCTTTCACTCATTAGCTAATTTATAGAGACACTCCTATGTTTAAGCTACTCTCTTTTTGAAACTTGATTGGTATAATTGGGAAACATTGGTAAAGAGATGAAAATAAAGGCTTAACTATAGAGTTAGAAATTGGGATGATATTTGTATATTTGATTTTTTATTTTTTGAGACAATCACACTCAGATGTAACTGCAGAGACACCATGAAAAGACTATCCAACTCATTTTTTGAATTCTGAGGAATATATGTCATAAATGCTGAACAAGCAGAGACGATTAACCCAATGTCAATGGTTGAAGGATCCCAGGTTTTTCTGTCTCTCACCAGGGCTTGTATTTCCAAGCCGACTGCTTAATGAGGTGGGGAGTGGGGAGGAGAAAAAGAGAGAGAGAGAGAGAGAACATTAGTTTACTTTAACCTTCAGAGAGTACATTGTGCATTCATTAAGAGTATGACAAGGTCCAGAATATTAGATCTTTATTGATTTGGATGAATCACGTGGTAGACTTTGGAGTAACTATAGGAATAAATGAACTGTGTATCTTTCAAGGATTCAAAGCTGTATTTTTATAGGTATTTGGTGATTATACTAGGTTGAGTTGGGCAAGTTTATTTGGTTTATCATTACCACATATTGAGAGAATTGTTTCAAATTCCATTTGTGGCATAAAAGTATATTAAGGTGTTTTTTTCCTGTGCACGTGTTCCATTGTGGGTCTGTTACTCTCCATTTATTAACTGATCGTTATTCTCAGCTTGTCTCCAAGTAACTCTGAACCCAATAAGGAATTATAATTTATTACAAAATGGGAATAGTTTGGTCTCTAAAAACTGAAGTCTTGTATAATAGACTAAAAAAAAAAAAAAAAGTCTACTGGGGAGAGGACAAATTTTGAATTCCAGTTCTGCTGCTATAAACTGGGAAATATGAGCTTGTTATTTAAATTCTCCAATGCTCTTTTTCCTGATAATTAAAATTTGAAACCCACTGTGAGTCTTCAAGACAACCACTTGTGAACAATTAACTAACACAATGTCCAGAATATAGTAGGGGCCCAACAAGAATTCGTTTTCTCCCCTTGAAGGGACGATAACCATTATAATAGGCATTTTGATTTGAATCCCAGGGAAATAAGAGATTAAAACATGTGCTGTTTTCTCCTTGGTTGGATGAAGTGGTGAAGTGCTTACATATTCTATTTGTTCTGTGAAGTTTTCTAAGCTGTGCTTGTCATATGCTGGACATTAACTAGTCACTGAGGCTAAAAAAGATGAGTAAACCAAGTTTATTTCCTGAAGAAAGGGGACACAATTTATTGAGGGAAAAGATAAGTCAACAAGTAATTAATATTCAGCATGAGATCTACCATACTAGAGGTATTGGTTCACAGGAAGGAGCACAATAACTGAATATTTATTATCTAGATATCAAATATCAAGGCTCATGGTGATTTCCAGTTGTACCAGAAGTGGCCAAACGGCTGGCAGCCAAGAGGCTCCGTAAGAAAGCATTTGCTTTAATGACCTTATTCCTGTTTAGGATTTTGCCTTCAGATTCCTATGTTCAGAAATTTAGAGACCTGCAGTTAACAAGGTTTGAGATTTTGTCTAATTGGCCAATGGATAATTAAGGGGGGAAAAAAAAAAGCATTTGTCAAGGGAATTAGGAATTCACCGTAGTTGGGACAGCACATTTTCTACCTGTAGATAAGCATCATGGAAATTTAGATGATCAGATTGCTTGACTAGTCTTGGAGCCGGACAAGCAAGTTTATTTACATGACTCAGATGTGCTCTGTCATCCATCTCAAATAGTCTGATGGAGACGCTCATTCCTGGCACACTGGATAATGGACAGTGGGCCTAGGAGGGCACCCTCTCTCTTGGACTGTGCATGGAAGTTCAGTGTTTCCTCTGATACCTCTTTCTTACTTTGCCTTCATGGTAGACCAGCTCCTTTCTGATTGACACGTCCTTTTCTTACATTTGTTAATATCTGCCATCAGGTAATGAAGTTAACCAAATACATCCACCATTCTTCATTTACAAAGAGTGTCTGGTTTCTTTGGAGACTGCTGTGTAATGCCGTTTATCTTTACCGATTGTGCTTTGTTTTCTGTGTAGGTACATGTCAACCTTGTATTCTCACCCCGATTTTCCAGAGAAAGGGCCAGAGGACATTAATGAAGAACTAATGAAAAATGTTAGCCACAACCCCCTTTTACTTCTCACACCACAGAAAGTTAAGAGATACGTTGAGTCTTTATGGAAGAAGAAAAGCTCTGGACAGCCTGTCACTTTTACTGATATCTTTGGGATGCTAATAGGAGAAACACTGATTCATAATGTAAGTTACAGTTCAATCTACATTCCTTTACAACAAGTAGACAAAGCATATTATAAAAGAAAATGCAATACATTTTATAAAAATCACTGGACTCTACTTACTCTTCCAACTATGTGTACTGCATCCATTCTCCCACCAGATATTGTAACTCTTCTACCTTTCAAACAAGTGCTTACTAATTCATTCAAAGGATGTAAAGGTTTTGAATGTGTGAGGAAGTGCTTTTGTATTCATTTTCCCTGAGGGGGAAAAAAAAATCACATTTTAACCCTTAACTACCCGTTCCTTCCAAGAATGATAAAGTTTTTAGATAAGGAAGAATGAACTTAGCCTGAACAGTCAAGATAGGGTCTGTTCTATGTGAATCACTTGATGTATGATTGCAGTGGGGTGTTTTGTTGAAGATGGAGCACAGGAGAGCCTGAGACAGGGAGTCCAGGGGCCAAGTTTCTTCTGGGCTCCATAGTTACTAATTCATTCTCCAGTTCAGATGTAGACATAGTCTCTAGAGTTATGATTATTTTCAAAATGAAGATAGTTACTTCCATGGGGCTTATATTTTTTGTTGTTCATTCAGGACCTAGTAATTTCTAGAAGTAATAAGACTTATTTTTATTATAAAATTAGAAGATTTTGATTGGAAGTACTATTTTAAATAGCATTCTTCGGTATCTGTTCATAAATTTAAAGTCATCTTTTTCGTTCTTCTGTGGGCAGAGGATGAATACTACCCTGAGTAGTTTGAAGGAAAAAGTCAATACTGCACAGTGCCCTTTACCTCTTTTCACCTGTCTTCATGTCAAACCCGACGTTTCAGAGCTGATGTTTGCAGGTATGCTGTTTCCTTTCTCAGAACACCTCCTGGAACCTCTGACTTGTGGTTTCCCATGATTTTCTTCAGAAGAAAGTCATAAGCAATTTCAGTTGTTTATTTTAATGTATTTTCTGTGACATAAGACTTTGAAAATGTAAGACCATATTAAGCGAGACAATTTTCTCGTTGTAGAGAATATTCCATGAAATTAGTAACTAATGTATTTTCATTTAATATGGTAAAATAAAAATCAGGAATACAATCAATAACTCAGTTTTAGTTATCTGTTTCTCAGCAGCTTTTGACAAAATAATGTGCCTAGTGCCTTGAGGCAATGCAGATGTTGGTTACCTTTTCATTAATTGGGTAACGTGATCTAGAGTTGTCTCTTGGTACTCATGGGGGTTTGGCTCTAGGGCTCCCTGTGGGTACCAAATTCAGTGGATGCTCAAGCCCCTTAGATCAAATGGCACAGTGTTTGCAGGCAACCTACACGTGTCCTTCTGTATACTTTAAATCATCTCTAGGTTACTCACAATACCTAATACAGTGTACATGCTAGGTAAATAATTGTTACATTCTTTAGGAAATAATTACAAGGAAAAAAATCTGTACATGTTTAGTACAGATCAAACCACAGTAGGCTTAACTACACAGTACATGTCAACCACGTTACATTTTGTGGAATTTTTTCAAATACTTTTGATCTGCAGCTGATTGAGTTTGCTGAACTCATGGGTGTGCAGAGCCAACTGTATGTTTGCCATTTAAAGCACTGCTGTAATTTTTATAATCCAGCACCTAAAAAGTACTAGTGTACATTTGCAGTGGCTGATGAACAAAATGCCTCATTTTGTTAAATCTCATGAATGAACAGTTGTTTCTTCTCGAGCTTTGCTTCTTGGATACTCTAAAAAGTACACAACATCACACTTTTGGGGGGCTCTGTCAGTATCAGTCTGCAGCACAATGGCTACTGTGGCTGGTGGGTTTCATTCTATTTTTAGGAAAAGTATCTCAGGGACTTCAGACGCACCATGAGTGCAACAAATCATCATGAATGGTGTGTTATTAGCAGATGTATATCCAGGATCCTTTTGTGATTTTCACTGTTCTCTCCGCTGCCTCTCAGACAAGAATTTTGAATAGTTTACAAAAATTAGCACATATGAGATCCATCCAGTTAAGTGTTTGTTAAAATATTGGCTAAAATGTTTGTCATGCTTATGATTCATAAGGCACTTATCACATTTATTATTTTACTCCATGTTTACTACAACCAGGGAGTAGGTATTTTTAGCTGTATTCCACAGAATAAAAACCAAAACCTCATAAATATTAAGTAGTTTGCATATTGCCACTTAGAAAGTAATTAGAAATGCTGAGAATCGGTTTCAAAAATCCTTTCTTCTTTTTATTTTACCACACTGACTTCTGATGTGTACACAGTGATACTGGACTATGTGGATTGTAGTCTGCAGGCACTAAGGATGAACTCCTCTTTCCTCACCACAATATATCATCCCCACGCTATAAGACCTTATAATCAGTTTGGAAAATTTACAATAACTATTAAAGAAGTTAAGGCACAAGAGAGTACAGAGCTGTTACTAGACACTGTCACTTTGACCAAGTTATAGGACCTCTATTAGAGCCAGTTTTCTCATCTGGTAAATGAAGATGAAACTTCTCACTACATTTTGCCAGAAAGTGAGATAAAGTTTGTAAAGCAATGGCAGGCCCTAATAATAAGTTTCCAGTAAATTTTAACAAATTAGAATGTTCTGTGAAAGCTGTATGAGAAAAGTCAGAGCTCTAGATCTTAAAAATGAATAGGATTTGAATACGAAAGGCAAATTGAATTGGATTATGGAGGGGGACGTGCAGCAGGGACTTGCATGAATCTGGTATGATGGGCAGCAACAAGGAAACACACTTCTTGGGCTATCATGGAGTTCACAGGAGAGAGTTGAGACTTTATGACATAAGAAAAGTAGGCGCCATAATGAAATCGCTTCCCTGCTCCCCAACCCCCAGCTAGTATCTTGTAAAGTTTTGAAATTTCGGGAATTCGTTGTCTATAACACTTGCATGTTAGTCAGATTTTTGCATGGCCAAATAAATCATCTTTCACCCTGAAAGAATAATGATATGGCTAAAAGAGCACTAGATTCTAACTTAGAAGCCTTGTCTCACAATAATTCTAAGCTGAATACCTCAGGCTAGTCATGTAATCTCTGATTCTTTATTTTCTTCATTATTTAACCTTAAGATTTACCTTACAGAGATATTAATACAATAATATGAAATATGCTTAAGATAAGACTGAAAAGTATAAGGAGGCATAAAAATATAATAGTTTTATTTTTATATCATGATCGTTCTAGACTTTTCACAGTGGTTATATTTTATTCTGAATTTTTAGTCCATAGCCATTTTCAAAGAAAACCTAACTAAAATAATTAAACAATAAATAATATTTGGGTGAGTGGGTATTTTGGGTTCTTCTAGACTGAGAAAAGGCTGTTTTCTATTCAGTTAGTAGTCTTTGGACCTGGATGTGTTTGATTTTGACATCTGCCTAACTGCAGTACTGCCACTGAGTTGAGAGGCACACCACTAACCTTCATTGTTAAGCTTCTGTGGTAAGGAGGTTTGAGCTGTGCCTTCCAACAGATTTAGACAAAGTCATTAAACATTAATTGTATGAATCTTGTACCCAGATAAGACATCTTAAGGTACACGTCTTGAGGTTCAAGTAGCTTTACTTGAGCTATTGTGAAAAAAGAATAGAGACATGTCTGTAATGTATTCTTCTAATATATGCTTAGAATGAAGGGGGCTCTGTGGAGGAAAAAGTGGAGAGAGTCTCCGAATTATGTTTTAAAAAGTCAGATAATGAAATTAGGTTACAGAATCTTTATTAATAATTTTACTTTAACAATACCAGATAACATTTTCCATCCCTCTTGGAATAATTTTAAACCTGTTTCGTTTAGAAATTCCTTGGAAATTTTCAACAAATAAACATTCATGTTTAAACTGTTAGAAATTCTTGACTCCTCCACTACATCACCTTGCTGAGAGGACTTAAAACATTCATTTAAAAATTTCCACTGGTGAATGAACTGCATTTAGGGATTACAACTTCTGGTTATGAACTCAGCATCATGGTAAATTTTTTGACAAGACACTATAGGAATACAAAGATAGTACTTTTCCTCAAGAAAGTTATAATCCTATTAAAGAGACAAAAATAAAACATGGGAAAACTCCTATAATATGCCTATACATGACATAAGTATGTAGACCTGACATAAGGGTGAGCTGTCATAGAGATTTAGTATAGTCATAAGAAAGACTTTATGAGGGTGATGAAGCTTGGATTTAAGTTGAACATAGAAGGATCTATCAAGTACAGGTAAAAAGACATCCACACATCTTCGTGTGGAAACAATATGAGAAAACACTCAGAAGCGAAGCAGAGGTATGTTTTGGGCATCACTGAAAAAAACAAAAAAACAAAAAAAACTACCCTAGGACATATGCACACATTGGTGAAGAAAGGTGTTGCATTCGGAGACACCATTAGTCCCAAGTTATGGAATGATTTTAATTCCAGACAGAGATATTTTTATTACTTTTGATGATAATAGGAAATAGTTAATGCTTTTGTGCAGGGCAATAAAATTATTTACATAGTGTTTTTGAAAAAAGTACTTTCACGTCCAATTAAAGAAAGAAGGGAAAGGAATGAAACTGGAAGCAGAGATGTCTGCTTCCGGTTTTTGTGATAAAGCCCTGGAATTAGGGACCTACTTAGAAAGAAAGAAAAGAGTAGATGGATATGAGAGGCCTAAGAGTCATCAGTGTGATGCAATAATGGATGTGATAGAGTGATAGCAGAGTTTACTGAAACAGGTAAGCTGGCCCCGAAGAAGAGTGATGAGCTCTTATCTAGGTAGCTCTCGGGGGAGAGGATGACAGAGTGTCGGAGTGTGAGGGCCCAAAGGAAGTTGGCAGTCTGTGGAGGTGCAGGAGAGAGGTTGGAGTCGACAGGTAGAGTCACCAGCAGGAGAGAATTAGTTGAAAACTAATAACGTGAGTTCTTCAGTGAAGAGGGCAGGGCTCATCTTAGCTTTTGGGAATGTCTGTAGTTACTGTGTGCCCAGGCCACAGCGCTAATAAAGAAGAGATCACTAGAAAAGTAGCAACCAGGAAGTTGTTACGCTTCCGTTCCCACGACAGGGTGTGAAATTGAGAGATAGGGCAGTTATTTGTATGAATACAGGAATGTTCCTAAACAGACTCTGATTCATTGCTAATCATGTCTCACGAACTCCATGTAAATCATCGTAAATCACAGCACTTTCTGATGAAGAGTATATGTATCATTTGGCTTTGACATATAATGAATTATAATGTTATCAAAATTGTGATTTCATCCCTTCCTTCATGAAAGGAGAATGTTGTGATCTACCATTAGACAAACAATAAATATAGATCCACAATTCCTTTTCCAAACCTTTGGTGACATGTGTTTTAGAATTCAAAATATTTGGATTTTAAAGGTATAAAGGTACGCATGTTGTGTATTACTTAATACCCCAGTGGGTTTTTATAATCAAACAGTGATATTTCTCCAATAGGATACCTAAATATTCATATCAAGCGGGATAAATGAATTATAAGAGTACCCACCGACATTTAAGACTGATTTCTCACTAAATGGATTCAGATCAGATTTTACCACTAAATGAGTAACGAAAAAGCTTATGAATTTTGGAATTGTTTGGATTTTGTATTGTTGGGTAAGAGATTCCCAACATATTATAATTTCAGAAAGGGAAAAACTAGAAAAAAAATGAAGCGGGACAGAGAATTATGAGTTGGTCGGGGTGGATGATGTTAGGATTTTATAATCCCGACCATCAAGAAAGACCCTAAACTAAAGATTCAGTAGGAGCAAGCCTTATAACAGCAGAAGGGAATAGCAAGTGTATGCAGAAGTGGGAATGAGCTTGACTTCTCTGAGGAACAGCAAAAAGACCAGCTGAAGTGGGATACGCAAGACAAAATGTGGTAGAACATTGTTAGAAGACGTGGCCGCATCTCACAGCGAGTGGGATCTCGGCCAGGATGGAACCTGTAGGCTCTGTTTTTGTTTTCAGTGTAATGGGAAGCTTTCAGATGACACTGGTGTACTGCGATTTATATTTTTAAAGATTTCTTCTGGGTATGGGATATCAAAAAGGTAACAGGCGAACAGAGTAGAAGCATTTTAGGAGGCTATCGCGAAGGTTCAGGAGAGAGAATAAAGCAGTTTGTATCAGTATGGTCATGGCGGCCAAATGGATAGGTGAGCAGGTTCTAAACAAACCTGGTGATAGAGCCTACAGCACTGATTTTTTAGATATAAGCTACAAGGAAAGAGAACCATCAAGGGTCATCCTAAAGTGAGTCGTGGCGTGAATAATAGTACCCTTTACCAACGAGAAGAAGAATAAAGGAGTGGCACGGGTAGAAAATGGGAATCAGAAACCAGGAGTTCTTGCTGAAGACATTAAGATGCAGATGATAATTAGACATAGTTATAGCCATGGGGATACGTGAAACATAAAGTAGCTACTATTTATTGAGAAATTAAAATGTGCTATATGCCCTCTTCTAAGCTGCTTATATTTCTTAACTCATTGGATCTTCAAAACAATCCTACATACTCTCTACTAATTTTATTCACATTTTACTGATTAGAGACTTAAGACAGAGAGAGGATAATGTACCCAAGTCAGTAAGCACAGTTCGTAAACAGCAGAATGGGATTTGATCCCAGACCTTCCGGCTCCAGAGCCCTTGCTCTTAGACAGGACACGTCGCTGACATTATTACCATGTTTTTCTAAGGCATTCAACCTAAAAACTTTGTATTGCAGTCTTGTGGAGTTAGAATAGATGGTTAGTAAGCAAAATTTAAAGATGAAGAAAAGGTAAATGTTAGAAAACATTTTATTTCATTTTAATAGACTGCTTGCAGTGTTAACAAAGAGTTTAATTTTTTTGTCTGCTCTATGATATTTATATCTAGTTAGCAGTTTTCAGTTTTCTATTCTATAGAATGAAAACTGACTTCAAAAAGACATCTGAGTTTTTAAATAAAGTGTAACCAATTTCTGCAAATTAGAAGGAATCTTTTTGTATTGTCATATTCACCTCTAAGCATTTTTCCCCAACTTCTACACAGTGTCATATACGTAATGGGCATTTGGCTAATGTTTTCATTTCAACATTTTCAATAAATGAATGAGAATAAGCGTAACATTAATAGAGTGATCATTAGCTGTGTACACCATGCTGGAGCATTTTCCTATTAATGCATTGTCTTGTTTTTTTCTAAATGCTTTCAGATTGGGTTGAATTTAGTCCATACGAAATTGGCATGGCTAAATATGGTACTTTCATGGCTCCTGACTTATTTGGAAGCAAATTTTTTATGGGAACAGTTGTTAAGAAGTATGAAGAAAACCCTTTGCATTTCTTAATGGGTAAGTGATCAAAATAAACATATTATCACTGATTTGTCTGACCATTTTGAATCCTGGTACATTTTAAGTTGTTCTCCGTTTCTGCTTTATTTTAGGTGTCTGGGGCAGTGCATTTTCCATATTGTTCAACAGAGTTTTGGGCGTTTCTGGTTCACAAAGTAGAGGCTCCACAATGGAGGAAGAATTAGGTATCCTAAAAACGTGCCTACATTGATAAAAATCTTGCTACATTGATACATTTTATTAACATATATAGAATATTAAATATTCATAAATATTTTAATTATTCTAAATGTATTAATAATCTGGTTGAATTAACCTAAATATTTCCTAAATATAATATGTCAGTTACTTCTTAAGTATTATTTTGACACTGAGGCTATGGAACTCATAAAAATCATTAATTCCTAAGAGTAACTTTTAACAGAACACAACTCTATTCCTTTTTCTCATTATACTGCTAAACATATAATTTTATTAGAAAGTCCTCTTTTTATCAAATAAGAATAGCTTTTTAAAGATTAGATTCACCAACAGCTAAATACAGTGTAACACTTAAGTTTATGCTTGTTACAGTTTATTTAACCTTAAATATTAACTCACTGGAATTAGCATCTTATACTAATCTATATCCAAAAGAAGGGAAAAAAATTGAATTACCTCTAGTAAACTTAAACTAATGATTTTCATCAAATCTAACCCATTAGCCTACAATAAAGTACAAATATTTACAAAACCTGAGAAAGCAGACAATCTCAACTGGGGACCAGTGGTTTTCATTCATTATAAGAATAATACCATAGAAACATGTTTTCTTAAATGAATAAATTTTGGCTAAAAGCCAAAAAAAAAAAAAATTACCTTCAGTATCTTCCAAAAGCCTTGCCATGTGTATTTTAATCAACACTAATTTTTGTTTTGACTGTTTTGACTGACAGCATAAAGAAATGGTGGAATGCTAAATCTGAATTTGGAGCCATAACAGCAGGGGTCAGGGGAAGCACCTGATGGACTATCAGCACAGCTACCTACTTTCTCTTCTGTATTTGGGAAGTAGCACAGATCTATCTGAGAACAGAGGAGTTGACAGAATAACACTGATGACTTTTTAAATAATTAATTTACTTGAAGAATGCTTGCATACAAAAAGCTTACTGCAGGAATTTTAAACAAGCTGTCCTTGGTATCTCAGACAATGCTGGTTGATTTAATTAAGTTTATATGCAAAAGAGAATGCAAGTGTAACATTAATTTGAACATTAAGGTGGCTTATAAGCAGTATTACCACTGTGCCTACAAGAATTGATTTTAGTTACATAATAATTTATTTGATATTTATATTTAGTGCAGTAAACTCCTATAGTTCATAATATTTTCAAGAGCATCATTTGTATTTTTGGTTAGTTCTTAATGAATAATGGAAAAGTGATCTTATAATTTCATTGGAGCCAAGGATTTTAAACTAAAAATAAAAACAATCAAATAAGGCACCTTGTGCTGGTTTACTTACTGTCCTCTGCTCGTCACCCAGTGAATGGGCAGACAAGGTAGGTGGCCCTCCTGAGCCTGCTGTGACATGTCCTGTGGGGCACATTCTCTTACCGGTAACTGCAAGGCAAAATGTATCACCATAAAATGATCTTCCTTGACCTACTTAATGAACGTTATATCCCAGATGAATGTCCTGTTCTCAACTCTTTGTGGAAATAACAAACCCTCTCTCTAAATTATGGGAAGATTTTAAGAAAAAAATAAAAGAAGAAAGAGAAGATCACATATTGAGGCTTGCTTCCTGTTCTCCTCTGTTGAATAACCCAGATAACCTGGGGTTTGTTATTTTTTTCTTCTTAAGGCAGGAAGAGAATAGGACTGAAATAACATATCTGAATGTGGGTGAGACAGTGGCTAAAGGCCAAGGAAAAGGAGGAGGTCTATACTAAGTAGTTTTGAGAAGGTTCTTTGTTGAGAAGTTTCCTTAGAGGCTGGCAGTCTGGCAGCCTATTTACTCGTCCTGTGTGTCAGACTGAGGGGGAATATCGTGTATGTGTGATCCGCCAGTCGGCAGGAAGCATGTTACCTCAGATTAAGTAAGATTTCCAGAAATGAAACCAGAGAGGTGACTGAGAGGGCTCTGAGGACTCCTGGTGACTACTCTACCCTTTGACCGACGTCTGCCTCCTAAAGGAGTGTTCAGAGATGATTTTTGCTTTTCTGTTTTCTTCTTTCTGAAGAAAGACTTTAAGGAACATTGGACTACAGTCAGGCAACTCTGAATGAAATTATTGACTCTCTAAGGAGTTTTGAACGAATGTGAAAAATTTACACTTTTGAGAGACAGAGTTGTACGTTATACTAGGATGGAAAATATGTAAATTCAAAATAGTTAGCTATTCATATCATGAAGTTCTTCCTTACAAATAAGACACTATTTTGGTGAACTATTGCCTTAAATAAAACTATCAAATGTGACAGAAAGAAAAGAAAGAAAGAGAGGAAGAAAGAAAGAGAAAAAGAAAGACAGGAAGGAAGGAAAGAAGGAAGGAAGGAATGGAGGGGAGGAAGGAAGAAAGAAAATGCATGAGGAAGGAGAACAAAATACATGTAGGCCTAGAAACACATGTGATGTATATGGCACCTGGAGTAGATCATTCTTTAGCATCTCCCATACCTCCGTGTAACAAAATAACTATTGATAATAGTCATGAAATGAAACCAATAATATTGGCTTGTGAACATTTTATCAAATGTATGTATAGTCATGCCAGTAAAAACTTAAAACATAAATGTCAATCCACTGCTGTAAGCATTTATTAACCCGTGCATTACATACCCTTGATCACCCATGCGCATTTTACTTGAAAAAAGACAACTAAGCTGGCCATGGTGGCTCATGCCTATGATCCCGGCTCTTCAGGGGGCCACGGCAGGAAGATAGCTTGGGTGGAGGAGTTTGAGACCAGCCTAGGCAACAGAGTGAGACCTCACTTCTACAAAAAATACAAAAAAAAATTAGGCAAGTAGGATGGTCCATGCCTATAGACGCAGCTACTCAGGAGGCTAAGTGAAAGGATTGTTGAGCACAGAGGCAGAGGTTGAAGTGAGCAGAGATCATGCTGTTGCAGCCCAGCCTGGGTAACCGTTTTTTAAAAAGACAAAAGATAACTAGTAATCATGCTAGATTTTACTGCTGTCTTTGTTTTAAGGATTTCTGGTGGTTATTTTAGTTTTTATAACTGTTCTCTTAATATGTTCTGCAGAAAGCACAAATTCTTGACACCAAAAGGTAAATTTCAACTGACAATTTACAATATTACTGAAAATCAAAAGATAATTTCTGTTAGTATCTTTCATTCATTCTAAGAAAACTATTCTGTAGCTCCCCTATAAGTTTTGGTTTTATCCTCTACCTTCATAAACACCACTTAAAAATAATGAAGAAAAACAAGTACTTTTTGGTATAACAAGAGCTTCCTATAATCAAGTTGTGCTTTCTGTTGGAGTTATGATTAACATAAAAATTATCCTCTTTAAATCATGAATGAATAAATATAATTTTTCATGTCCTAGGAAATTTTGTTTCTTGTGAGAAATCTGAAAACATGATTAAATCTAATAAATCTAGATTTATTAAATGGATTTAAATTTATGCTAGCGGAGCTAGTAGATCTCATTCTATGGTTTTGCTCGGATTACTTCTTTATAATAAATTTGTGAATTTTGACAGCTAAGATTGTTTAAGATTCAATTGTTTTGTCTCCTTTTCGCAGAAAATATTACAACAAAGCATATTGTGAGTAATGATAGTTCGGACAGTGACGATGAATCACACGAACCCAAAGGTGAGTGAGCTGGAAACGTCTCTGGCCGAGATCCATGAGGAAAAGATATGAACACTTAGACTGATTTTCTCATTCAAGATGCTGATGGTAATCTCCACTTCAGAAATGGAAATGATAAAATTGGAGTTTTGTATTGAGAGAGAGGATTGCGTATTACATGTGTAATAAAATAGGCAGCACTATATGTGTGTGTGTGTGTGTGTGTGTGTGTGTGTGTGTGTGTGTATATATATATATGGTAGAAATTCTGAATTCTCTTTTAAGTCTGATTAGAGCACTGGGCTTCTCAGCATAGTTACTGTGATTTGGGAACCTTTTTAGATGACTTTAAAAATTAAAATTTTGGTCTTTTACAATTTTGTTATTAAGTAAAGTGAAAAATTGTATTCTCGCTCCATTCCTGAGCCTTAGCCCACTCTACCTCATGAGAAGGGATTAGTGATGAAGTGGGTAAAAGTATCAAGAACTTGTTGCATATATTATTTGATAGAATAAATGAGTCCTTTTACATTCTGACAAGGCCGTTTTCAGTTTGGTGTGGATCATGATAGTCAGCGATGGACTAAGGGCAGAGATAAGGTGAGGATCTGATTTGCAACAAATATGAAGGTCATATTTGTTGTAAATGTTTCATGGTAAAATAGATTATTTTGACACAGTGTTTTGAGATAGCCATTTATAAAAGTGTTCCCATAGTCAAAAAAAAAAAACAAAAAACACCCAACCAACAAACAAAAACAGAAAAAAAACAAAGGGAAGTCTTTATAAGAACTGGATGTATCTGTCCTATTACGGCTTGAATATGATCATCTAGATTTTAGAAGATATTAAATGCTTCCTGGTCTAAAACTTAATTAATTCCACTAGGCATGGAAGAGCCCGTTTTATCCTTGCTTAATTATTACTAAAATTAAAATTCTCTTCTGATAGCTGGGCTATTACTTCCTCAGAAGATGCGTTTGTGTAAATTAGAGAAAAGCTGCCTTCTCTGGGGAATGCAGCTGCCCGGGACCAAGACTTGGCTAGTGTGTGGTGTCTTGTGACACTTAAAAAAGAGGATTCCTTCCCCGTGCAGACAATGCTTTCATCTGGGCACAAGGCTTTGCTGTAGGAGTACATGCTGGGTTCAGCCCTGATCTGCCCGCACTGTCCTGCTGCGTTATGCAGCCCATGATCTGCCTAATCAAATAATGACCGGCAGCCCTGATCATTGTGCAGGAACCCCAAAAGAACCCTGCCCTGGAAGGCAGCACGTCTTCATCCTTGCTCCTTCATTTTTAAAATGTATACATTTTTTAGTTGTGGGAGTCCTTTTTGTTTTAAATTTCCTTTTAATGACGGAAGCTAGCCAGTGCAAAGGGGATAGGTATCAGATGCCTAGCTTCTCTAGAATTATTTTCGTGTTGATTTAGGAACCACTGAGGAGATAGAATAACGGTTTCTCTATTATTAAGGATTTCTCTAGATGGTCAGTACATTTGATAGCCCCTACAGTACCAGCTGAGTCTTAAGGCTGTGAAGTTCAAGGACTGTTGAATATGGCTGCTTTGGTTTTAGGACTAGCCTTGCTTACAGCATGATATTTAGTATGTGGTTAATGTTTTCTTTTCCGCTGTTAGTATATATATTTTCTCTTTTACACAGAGTTTTTAGAGCAGTTCTTAGAGCAGTTTCTGCTCCGTTTCAAAGCAAACTGAATAGAAAGTAGGGTTCCCATATGTCTGCTGTCCACCCTCGCCCTGCGTCTCCCCCACTATAAACACTCCGCACCAGAGCGGTATGTTTATTACAACTGATGAACTTAAATGACATTATTATCAGTCAAAGTCCATAGTTTATTTTAGGACTCACTGTTGGTATATATTCTATGGGTTTTGACAAGTATGTAGTGACATGTATTCATCATTAGACATGTCATACAGAATAGTTTCACTGCTCTAAAAATCCTGTCTCCTGCCTGTCTGTCCTCTGCTCGCTCAAACCATAACAAGCACTAATCATTTTATTGTCTCCCTAGTTTTGCTTTTTCCAGAATGTCATATAGTCAGAATCACACAATGATGTAGCCTTTTCAGATCTTTCACTTAGTAGTATGCATTTAAAGTCCCTCAATGTTTTTTCTTGGCTTCACAGCTTATGTGTTTTTTAAAGCACTGAATAATATTCCATTGTCTGGTTGTACCACAGTTTAGTTATTTATTCACCTACTGAAGAAGGTGAACTTTGAAAACTTGAACTTTCCTTCCAGGTGTGGATGTTAAATGAATAAAACTTCTAGAAATATCTATGTTCAGGTTTTTGTGTAGACGTAGATTTTTCAGTTTATTTGGGTAAGTACCATGGAGCACAGTCGCTGGATCATATGGTAAGAGTATATTTAGTTTTGTCAGAAACTGCCAAACCGTCTTCGAAAGTGGCTGAACCATTTGGCATTCCCCACCAGCCACGAATGAGAGTTCTTGTTGCTCCGCATCTTGTAAGCATTGGGTATTATTATTATCTATGCTTTAGATATCGGCCATTCTAAAAGATATGTCGTAGTCTCCGTTGATTGTTTCAATTTGCATTTCTCAGATGACGTTAATGTGAAGCATTTTCTCATATGCATATTTGCCATCTGTATATCTTCTTTGGTGAGGTATCAGTTCAGGCCTTTGCCTCAGTTTTGGATTGGGGTTGTTTTCTTATTATTGAGTTTTAAGTGTTCTCTGTGTGTTTTGTATTACATGTTTTTAATCAAATATGTCTGTTGCAAATAATGTCTTTCAGTCTGTGGCTTGTCCTTTTAGTCTCTTGAGGCTCTTTCATGTTTAGTCATGTGATTTTGAGCAAGCTTTTAGGCATCTTCTGCTTTAGTTTCTTCAAATCTGTGCTGGAACCATTTACCTTCTCTCACAGAATCGTTGCAATCATTAAATTGGCAAATGCATACAAAAGGGCTTTAAGTTATAAAGGGTGATGCAGATAGAAACGTACTATTAGTGGTATGACTAATAAGCCGTAAGTAGTCAACTTATTTTTTTTTTTGAGTCAACATATAAATATAACATTTATATGGTGACTGCTGGGTTTGTCCCGCAAGTGCTGCCATTATCAAAGATATCCTAAGGTAAATCCTCTGCTGGTATGGAAGTAGGAATTTATTGAATAATAAGAAGAAAAGTAAGAAGCTGCAGCCCCCAAATCTTTGGAAATAATTGTGTATTTCATTCATATCCTGTGAAACGGGAGACATAAATCATTTACTTTAAAGCTTGAATTTTTCTAGTAAAATATTTTTTTTGGTCCTATTTGGCATTATGACAGGGTGAGAGTAGAAAACAGTGTATTTTTTTTTTGGTGACCATAAAGTTACCTGGATTGGTTACTGAATGAAAGAGCTCTTCATTTGCTCCGCTCAGTTAAACAAATATCTGTGAAGATAAAAATCAATATTTATTATAGTTTTATGTATGTTTAGTTTACATTTGGAAATTATGAAGTTGACTGTAGAGTCTCTTTTTATCTCAACACACACACACACACACACACACACAATCACATACACATACACACACAGTTTTATAAATGCATGAATATTTATGTACAGAGTTCCCAGAAATCAGAACAAACAGGGTTTAGGCAGATGAAGTTATACTCTACCATAAATTGCTCTTCAATTTTAATTATGAATAAATGAGATTGATGATGATGGTGCTTCTCCTGCTGCTGCTACAACTATTTCTGCTACTAGCAAGTGTTTATTAAGAAGTTAATATGGGCCAGGCACTTTTCTAAGAACATTACATAGATGCACAAACACAGTTAATTCTCACAACTTTAGGAGGTTTATCGATGAGGAAATGAAAAAGGAGAAGGGGAAGGTAACTAGAAAAGAGTGGAGAGAGGACTGGCACCCAAGGAGTTGGATTCTGGAGCCAGTGCTATAAATGGCCATATAATATAGTTTCCCAGTAGTAATGGTGTATGCATGGATTTTAAGGAAAAAGGCATTTAAAACTACTGCTTTGGGGTGATCACTGAATTTTAAAATGTTTAGGCATTTGTTTAAATTAAAGGCTTTTAAATCTCCAAACTGTATAAGCAAGGATGAAATGACAGGTCATAAGACCAATAGGTCATAAGGGTGTTTATTTAGTAGTAAATATATGTTGAATCCTTTAGCTCTATCTCCTCATTTTGCACAATTCCTGAATGTTTGTTAAACAGGATAAGATTAATTAAGGAAGGCTGGGCGCGGTGGCTCACGCCTGTAATCCCAGCACTTTGGAAGGCCGAGGCGGGTGGATCATGAGGTCAAGAGATCGAGACCATCCTGGTCAACATGGTGAAACCCCATCTCTACTAAGAATACAAAAACTAGCTGGGCATGGTGGCACATGCCTGTAGTCCCAGCTACTAGGGAGGCTGAGGCAGGAGAATTGCTTGAACCCAGGAGGCGGAGGTTGCGGTGAGCCGAGATCAGGCCATTGCACTCCAGCCTGGGTAACAAGAGCGAAACTCCGTCTCAAAAAAAAAAAAAAAAAAAAATTAAGGAAACTTAAGACGTGTAGAGGGTAGAATTAGCCACTGTGGATGTTCTGTGTGTGTGAGTTATATGTGCATGCAAGTGTGTGCACTTGAAGCCAGAGAAAAGGAAGAAAAACAATTCAGAAAAGAAGGAAAGGGGGAAGAAGGAAGAAATTTACTTGGAAATCTAAGCATAAACCGAGGGGCACTGTCAGGAATATACTCTTTACAAGCACTACAGGTAAAAGGTGAACCAAGAACACCTTAAGAACAAAAATGATTAATTGCAATATTTATTATATTAATGTAGGCAAATAAACATGTGAAACATAGAGCTTCATTGTTAATTTTAACATTTAATTATCCAGAGAAGATCCCTTTTTAAACGTGCACTTTGGAGTCTGCATAGCGATCTTTTCTTTTTCCCTAGGCACTGAAAATGAAGATGCTGGAAGGGACTATCACAGTGATAATCAAGCAAGTTGGATTCATCGTATGATAATGGCCTTGGTGAGTGATTCAGCTTTATTCAATACCAGAGAAGGACGTGCTGGGAAGGTGCACAACTTCATGCTGGGCTTGAATCTCAATACATCTTATCCACTGTCTCCTTTGAGTGACTTTGCCACACAGGAATCCTTTGATGATGATGAACTGGATGCAGCTGTGGCAGGTAAGTGCACAAAGTATAATCAGTGGGAGCTAATTCAGGAGATCTGTATTCTTTCTCTGGAGAGAAGCGTTTTAATTGTTATTAACCCTCATGTATTCTCAATTATTACAAGCTGCATTTAATGTGTGAAGGGCTTCAAATTATTAGAGTTATTTTTGTTGTGGTTTGTTTGTATTTTTGAGACAGGTTCTCACTCAGTCACCCAGTGGCACAATCATGGCTCTTCACAGCCTTACAGTCCAGGGCTGCAGCCATCTCCTGCCTCGGCTTCCTGAGTAGCTGGGACTACAGGTGCGCACCACCATACCCAGCTAATTTTTTTTTTTTTTTTTTTTTTTTGTAGAGACAGGGTTTTGCCATGTTGCCCACGCTGGTCTCAAACTCCTGGGCTCAAGTGATCCTCCTATCTTGGCCTCCCAAAGTGCTGGGACTACAGGCAGGAGCCACTGTACTAGGCCTGTTGTTTTTTTTTTTTAAAGAAAAATTTACATTGGATGGAAAATGGTCTAGACATGTCAGTATAGAAAATTTTCATTAAAATGTTGAGGGGGACAGCTGGGCACAGTGGCTCACGCCTGTAATCCTAGCATTGTGGGAGCCTGAGACAGGCAGATTACCTGAGCTCAGAAGTTCAAGACCAGCCTGAGCAACATAGTAAAACCCTGTTGCTACTAAAAACAAAAAAAAAAAAATACAACAACAAAAAAATTAGCTGTGTGTGGTGGCACACGCCTATAATCCCAGCTACTCAGGAGGCTGAAGCATGAGAATTGCTTGAACCCAAAGGAGGAGGTTGCAGTGAGCCGAGATCACGTCACTGCACTCCAGCCTGGGCAACTCTATCTCAAAAAAAAAATATTGAGGGGGACTTTACATTTTCTCTGTACTAGTCACAGTTCATTTGGAGAAATTAGGAAACTATTTCCTATTTTCTGAAAGGGATTTGAGGAAGGGAATTAAGTGCTTATAAAATTGTTCCAAACCTTGAGGGAACAAGCTTTAGGCTGAGCTTTCAGGAATGACTCAAAAAGTACTTCAGAATCATCCCCATAATGCCTTGGCAATTGTGCTTGGCAGAAGAAATAGCAGAAATGTAGCTTCTGTCTCTTTTTTTTTCAGGTTTTATGCAAGTGTTTCCCTTTGGCAGAGGCCAGGTCTCAGGAGAACTGGAGCTGCAAGGGACTCTGGCAAACACATTCCTTACCTGACTCCCTAGTGCAACGTAGGGCTTGAGTCAGCCAGCCTGTGCTGTTCATTAGGCTATTGGATCTGTCTTCCTGTTCTCAGAAAGGTTAGGTAACTTTCTTAAAGCTGCCCAGCAAGAAACTAGTCACTTTCAGATTTGTCACTTAGCCAAATCCTCAAGAATAATTCCCTCTGGGCTTCAGTTCCATACCTGTTACAGATTTAAAGTTAAATTTGCTTTGGTGACCAATCAATACATAATAATTTTTTGGTGCTAATTCTGTCATCTTAAGTTTTTATAGTTCACCACACCATCATCTTTTCCTTAATGCCCAAATGTCATTCCTCAATCATATCTGTCTAAAGACATTTTGACTAGATGCAGGAAAAATTCAAATGGGCTATTTCTAAAAAAAAAATTTCTACTGCCTTTTGTTGAAGCATCATACCTAGAACATACTTGTGAAATTTAGGATATAGTTTTGGATTTTGCTGTTGTTTTGGTATTGTTGTTTCTTTCTGTTGTTTGACCCCTTAAAAGGAATTGCAGAGGCAAAAATGACCCCTCTTGTTTAAATAAGATTAGTATAGACTCGTTACATTTTTTTTATGTTTATGGCATTAAACTAGGATATGAGGTATGTCTGATTATATACCTGTAATCCCAACAGGATTCACTAAGTTATATAGTATACTAACTATTGTGTTAACTATAATGAAATTCTGTCAGCAAGTCAGTATCTATTTTTAAATTCATCCAAAATAAGAATACACTTAACTATACATTCAGTGACATTATTTTTCTTGTTTAGTCATATAACTATGCTTATTGCCATCGCAATTCCCATTAAATATGCCTCTTCCAGAAATGTACACTTCATAGGTGAATGATGATGAGCTTAAAAAAAAAACTACAAACTCATACAGCATGTCGATATAGAGAGAATCTTCAGTTATTTTACTCTATAGAAAAGGAAGATCAAAGAAGATAATTCTATCATCTTTGCCTAAAATTTCCCAACAGAGTTGAGATTGGGACACAGGTTTCTTGACATTGCTTCCAAGCTTTCCCTTGGCCACATACCATTCCCCATAGCCGCCCTTGGTTTTCTTAGTCATCCACTTATGTAAAAATGGAAGTTTTCTTTCTGTATACTTTAATCCATCTGTTTTATGTTATTCCTTGTATTGCATCAGCCAGCACAGCTCTTTATGTAATGCCGTATTTGGGGATGATTGATAGTTTATATTTCCTTATGTTATTTTATGAAAACTGTCTATAACTCTTTTTTCAAAGGTCACTAAATTCAAATTTCAATTTCCATTAGAATTTCATTATAGTTAACATAATGAAATTTTCACAGCATGTGGTCTACACACCACATTTTAAAAAACTTCCTGGTAGATTTGGAATATTTATGTAGATTTGGTGGTGTTGAGGTAACCAGATAAGATAGAGAATATCCAGTTAGATTTGAATTTTAGATATGTGTAAATTTATATATGATTTTTGCAGCATTTGGGAAGTACATTAAATAATTGTTTGTTGATTATCTGAAATTCAAATGTAACCAGGCATCCTGTATTTTTATGAGCTAAATTTGGGAACTTTAGAAAGTATGCCTCTTCCTTTTAAATTATTTTGCATTTTCATCTTCCTTCTGTCTTTTGTTCATTCTTTCATTCACTTAGATTTATTTATTGAGTACTTACAATGTGCTTGGTTCTTGGGATCCGGTAGTTAACAAGATAGATACAATCCTTGGCCTCATAAAGATTAAAATCATTTAATGGCCTTTCCTCAAAGTTGTCATTCATGGAAGGACTTAAGTACTTTACTTTCGTTAACAATGATGGAAAAGTAGAATAAAACTAAAATATAGAACGCTGATTCTGACGGAACAGTAGGTTAGTGAGGCTATGTCAACGTCGAGGATACAACTGCAAAACTAATTATATGAGTTGAGGGCTGCGCACGGTGGCTCCTAGCACTTTGGGAGGCCGAGGTGGGCAGATCACCTGAGGTCAGGAGTTCAAGACCATCCTGGCCAACATGGTGAAACCTGTCTCTACAAAAATACAAAAATTAGCTGGGTGTGGTGGCACATGCCTGTAATCCCAGCTACTTGGGAGGCTGAGGCAGGAGAATTGTTTGAACCTGGGAGACAGAGGTTGCGGTGAGCTGAGATCATGCCACTGCACTCCAGCCTGGGCAACAGACCGAGACTCATTCTCAAAAACAAAAAGGAGTATGACTTGAATGTGGGTGTTCGCATTTGGAGAATAATAGTTATACATCACCTTGTCTGACTCCTTTCTTCATTTAATGCCCTTTGAAAGAAGAGTTATAGACAGTTTTCATGAAATAACATAATTTCCTTATGTTATAAACTATTAGTCATCCCCAAATGTGGCATTATATAAACCAGTTTTTTTTTGAGATAATTGAAAATGTTCTAAACTAAAATTATTTTAAATTAATGATGTTTGGAAAGAACTTTAAATTTTATTTCTCAGTGTGCATTTTATTTAAATGACATTTTATTCATTTTTATGTATTTAATAAAAAATGTATGTGGGTATTGATTTCAGTAAAAAATTTAGTCAGTTCGGTCAGTTCACAGATTTATTCAACTTTATTATTTACAGGCCAACATTACTAAAATTAATTTCATTTTAGACTGAATTTACTGAATTGACTAGTGCTTTTTCAGAAAAGGTCCTTACAAAGGTAGATCTAGTTTACCTTCCTCTGGTAGTTTCCAATTTTTAGAATAATCATATGTTTGGAATGAAAAGTTAAAACATTTATCACAAACTGTGATCATTTTGGTTCATAAGGTCTTCCTTAAAATTCCTACTTTAAAGAATGCCAACTAAAATTTTTAGCCACAATTTATTTAAAACATTAAGCACATTTCTTTTTAAATTTTGCATCCCCCTTGCAAAAAAGATTTTATCCAATCTAGATACTATGTTAGAAAAATGTTTATATAAATTGAAGATTGAGTGTCTTAGAATTAAATCAGTCTTTCAACCTAAAATCAGTAAAAGTGCACTATTTTTGTGCCTGCTACTTCACCTTGCAGACTGTATTTTGTAAACAATAGAAATTGTAACATCATAAAATTCCGTTCCTGAGTTTACTGCAAAATAGTTGTGTACCTGTGGAAACAAATTTTGGAGAGCTTTTCATGAGTCATATGACTTCTTTCCTGTTTACTTTTGTGTTTATCCTATTTACTGTGACACACACCATCTGGAAATAAGAAATAAAGACATGAGTTAGTTTAGGCCAGAGTTCAAAACACAGACATCCAAATATTTGAACCCGGAAGCTTTGTGATGTATTTATAAAATGACCATTACAAATAACCAAAGCTGATCTGCTTTAAGGAACTGTTACATAATTCTAAAACAGAGTTATGTTTCCACAACCATCAGAGAACCCCATTAACTGATTCACAAGTTTAGAATCCTTGTATGTTTTTAAATTATGGGTGGAAATTCTTCCATAGTGGCATTTACCCAATACTCTAAGACATTTTAGTAGATGTTATACAATAAATCGGGTTCAAGTTCAAATAAACTTGGAAAAATGTACAACTCAATCTCCCTCTTCAAATACAGTGATACCCTCCTGAGTTTAAGTCTTACTTACAGGTGCTTGAGGATAGTACTGTAAAAGGAGACTGGCCGATATTTGCATCTCAGTTGGACCCTTTACTAGCAGGCAGTCTTAGCCAGTCACTTAGCCTAAACCTCAAGTTACTTATAAAATAAAAATAATAATGGTACCTATGTTATAGAGTTATTTTGAGGATTGGTTAGCATCATCATATAAAGTGCTGTTAGTGACAGCCATAGGAAGGAGAATAGGGAATGCGCAATATCACTGGCTAGTCCTTTACGTTGTTGAACTTTGCCTTTCTGTAGACATGACCTTATTTAATCGTGGTACTCTTATTTTGTATATGAGGCATCAGTTTATATCTTGCATAACTATGCTTTTTGCAACACAGTTAGGAAACACTACTTACTGTTTTTGTGTGTTTTTTGTTGTTGTTGTTTTGTGACACGGATGAGCTTAGTGGACATTATGCTAAGTGAAATGAGACAGACACTACATGATATCACTGGTAATGTATAATCTAAAAAAAGTTGAACTCAGAAGTAGAAAATAGGATAAAGGTTACCAGAAGCTGGGGGCAATTTGTGGAGGAGGCAGCAGATGGAGAAAGAGGCAGCCTTACTCACAGGGCACAAAGTTTCAGTGAGACAGGAGGAATAAGTTCTGTGTATCTATAGCACAGCGTGGCGCCTGAGTTCATAATAATGTGCATTTCAAAATAGCTAAAACAGAGGATTTAGATGTTCTTACCACAAAGAAATGATAAATATTTGATGTTATGAATATTCTTAATTACTTGATTTGATTATTCCAAAATGTATACATGTAATGAAACATCACATTGTACCCCATAAATACAATTATTATTTGTCTGCAAAATAAAAATCGTTTTAAACATAAAACAGACAATAAAAGGAACACTACTTACCATCAGTTCATCTTTAAGGTGGGAGTGGTGGTGTTCAGTTACAAACCAAAGCTCAGAATTGGTCCACATGATTTTCCTCTCAAATGCACTCCCTCTTGGATATAACAAAGAATAAAAGGTCACTACCAGTTTCCTGCTAAGGGACAAACCAAACAGGATATGAGAGAAATGATCTGTTTTTGGTTACACTTTCAGCTAAAACTGTTTTAAAAACTGAGTTTATGAAGCACCCCCCCCCCTCCAAATTTATGAATTGTAATTATACTTGCATTAGAGTAGGGAAAAGCGTTGCATGTAAAAATACAGTAATCCTTCCTCCCTTACTCAGGGTTTCAGTTTTCTCAGTTGTAGTTACCCGCAGTCACCTGTGGTTGACCACAGTTTGAAAAAAATTTTTAAAATTCCAGAAATAAATAGTTCAGTGTTTAAATTACATGCAGGTGTGAGTGGCATAAAGAAGCCTCATGCCATTCCTCCTGAGATGTGAAACATCTCTCTGTCCAGGCTCAATATGCTGCCTGCCCGTTCGTGACTCTGGCCATTCAGTTCATCAGATTGGCTGTCTCTGTATTCAAGTAACCCTGTTTTTTCTACTTAAAAATGGCCACAAATCACAAGAGTAGGGATACTGGCATATTGCTATAATTGTTCTCTTTTTTTTACTACTGTTGTTAATCTCTTACCGTGTCTAATTTATATATTAAACCTTATCATGGGTATGTATATGTAAGAGAAAACTGAGTATATGTAGAGATTCGTTCTATGCACAGTTTCACACATCCACTGGGCGGTTCTTAAAACATAGCCCCCCAAGTAAGTAGGGACTACTGTGCTCCCATGATTGTGTTTTTAAATGTTAGGTTTAACTGTGATAAAATACACATATTAATGTGGTTTAAATACGTGATAGGATTATGTGCTGAGAGCCTCTATACTTTGTAATTATTATTTTTTATATTACTCATTTTAAACCTTCTTATTCAGTCATGCCACTTTCTAAAGTAATAGTGTGACACCATGCTTAGGGCTTAGACCTTGTGAACTTGGATTGGAATTTTGACTCTCACTATCTGTTTGAAAATAGACCATTTATTTTACCTCTTTGAGCCTCAGTTTCCTTATCTTTAAAATAGCTACTTCCTCTGTAAGATTCTGTTTTTCTTATCTTTAGTCTCCTTTGTAAGAGTCTTGTAAGAATAATAAATCTTATATATGAAATTTCTGATACATAATAGACTCAGTATAAATGAAGTCACCATTAGGAGAAATGTGAGTAACCAACTAATGAATTTCCAACTTTTTGGTAAAATGTTTAAAAATGAATTTAAGTCACAGACTCACTATTTTTACCTTTAAGACGTTCACATATGTAATTGTTAAACTAAAATTTCAGAGGAATAGACGTCAAAAATGGGCTTGACAGTCTCGTTATATATTTCCGTCTTACATCTTTACATTCCTGGTTCTGTGATAGATAGTCTAGTATCATGGCTGGTGGCAAGGTGCATTGTCACGACTGTCTGTAGATACTTATTAAGAAAAGAGAACTGATCTACAGGTAATTATTTAAAGAACTATTTCTCTTCTCTCTCTTTGTTGCCCTGTAAGTTAGCTTTGGACACAGCAGGCCTTTATTATTTGGCCATATTACCATATCCTTGCTTTTAAAAATAGCTTTATTTTCAGCGTATTTGTTTTTAATTCAAGACCATTATTCACACCTTTCCTCTTTGCGTCACTTATTCTGGGCAGTATGAATTGCCTCAGTCATAAAACTTACTCTTCTTTATTTATAAGCATCACTAGTAAGCGTCTGTAACATTTATATGTTATCCCATTTTCAAAATGGGAATTTTTAATAGACATGCGAAAACAGATGACTCTGCTAACTGTAGAAAGTTAGAAGGATATTAATGTTTCTTAGTATTAATAACCATGCTGAAGTCTTATTTTTCACTTTACACTGAATAAAATATGATGACTGTCTCATTGGTGTTTTTCTTTCAACCTTTACTGATAGTGAGGATTATGGATTTAATTGGACAGAAAGAATTTAAAGATTTTCTTTCCTTTTTGATTTCATGCTCTTAAAACGTAATAAGTAAAATTGACTATAGAGAGATAGTATTATTCTTACTTAGGAACATATGGAGGGAAACGAACATACACCCGGTTCCTACTGTGTGCTGGGCGTGTATGTGTATATGTATATATAAGGTTATACGTACATATTCGCATCTGGTGTGACCATCTTCACTTCATTCTACGGTCCTAGGCCTCCCTCTTGGGCTTAGCCAGCCTTCTTCCTATAACAGCAGAGGAAATAAGAGTGTGGACAAGGGGCAGAGAAAAGCAGCTGCATGCGTTTTATTCAGTTCAGTTCAAACCAGTTCTCTCTGGTCATGTTTTGTTTTTCCGGCAAGTGAATTAGGAGCACCATACATAAACATGAAGGGTAGTATGTTTTCAGTATTCTTTCTTCATGAAATTAATGATCTCTAGGCCCTCCGTTTCTTCAGAGCCCCTGCCATCTCATTTTGATCTCCTCCCATCCTGTCCTCGGACTGCAGGCTCCCTGCTGTCTCTCCTCAAACACACCAGCCTGATTCTGCCTTCAGACCCTTGCTCTAGCTCCTCCTTCTCTCTGGAATCCTCTGGATCCCACCATCCCAATCTTTAGATGGCGGTTCCATACCGTTATTCTTGTTTAAGTGTAAGGTTCCCTTCTCAGAGACATCTCCCCTGACCATCCAGCTGAAGTGACGCCTGATGACAGTGTCCTGGATCATTTTCTTCATGGCATTGATCACCTTATGAACTGTACTCTTCATACATTTAGTTACTTATTGGTGGTGCACTCACAATATGAACGCTATCAGAGAAGAGCGTGCATCTATCTTGCTCAGCATCTAGACTCGAATCTGAATGGTGGCAGACATATTTGCAGGGCGTGTTGGCTGGATGATTTTCTTGGACTCCCACCTTGTGGTGAAATGCACACTCACCCCCAAGAGAGGCAGCATGTGATCCATAGAGTCTGCCACCTCCCCGTGATGCCACCTTCGAGAGACTCTTCATTGGCTTTGCCCTCCATTACAGCTGTCCTCTGCCTCACCTGTTATAAGAATTAAACAAGATTATGCATGAGGAAATGTTTAGAAACCTGCAAAGACCTATGTAACGTACAATAATACTGTTAAAGTGATCACAGCTTAGAGTTAATACCAGCACCGAAGCTACGTGTGTTCCATGCCTCTTCCCAGTAAATCCTCACAGCAACCTTATTTGGTAATTACTTTTGTCCTGATGCTGCAGGTGAAGAAACTAAGACTTAAATATAATATTACAATCGCTAAAGTTGGTCTCATGCCCCGGTCTATTTGTCTCCAAAGCCTAAGGGCCTAATCGTAGCAGATTCTGTCTTGCAAATTTTAAACAAACGTTTTTAGATGATAAATACGGATGAAGGATCATTTAATTCATTCTTGTTTTTCATTTATGTTTTTAAGATCCTGATGAATTTGAGCGAATATATGAGCCCCTGGATGTCAAAAGTAAAAAGATTCATGTAGTGGACAGCGGGCTCACATTTAACCTGCCGTATCCCTTGATACTGAGACCTCAGAGAGGGGTTGATCTCATTATCTCCTTTGACTTTTCTGCAAGGCCGAGTGATTCCAGTCCCCCGTTCAAGGTAAGGAGACCTACTACGGCACTCCATTCTCTACCACGTTCTCTCGCTTGCCTCATAGATGTCTTAGTCAATTTGACTCCGGTTGCTTATTCCTTGAACGTATTTCGTACGTTTTCATGAGTAATAGTTCTAAAACGCAGACACGCTTCAATCAATCTCCTGCTTAAAGAAACTTTTAAATGATTCTGATGAGCTCAGTGAAGTTCAGAGTCCTGAGCAGGACAACAATAATACAGTAGGTCTGAAGTTTACAAAGGAAGTGAGGCTGAGATGTGGGAGTTAGCAAGTAAATGATCATTTAAACCATGCATGGAGAGGGTATGCCCTGAAAAGAGAAGTGGACATAAACAGTACTTTTAAGAGTGCTGTCGAGGGGGAAGGAGAGGAACAAAGGAAGTGTATAGTGTTGTGAGAACTGAAGATACCTAACGACAAGGAGGTCTTTGGTGAACTGGACGAGGACAGCTTCCACAGGGCTGTGAGGGCAGAAATCAGACCAGAGTGGTTTGAGGGATGGAGACAATTTTGTAGATTGATCAGGGAGAGGGATGGACTGGATCTGTAAGAGGAAGTGGGAAGAAGAAAGCTGTGTGTGGTGGGGGTGGGTTGTTGATAGCAGAGGCAAGCATGTTTACATACGCATGGCGAGGAGTCGGTAATGAAGAAGGTATGACTGAAGAGGGGAGAGATGAATACAGGATGAAGTCACATCTCTGGGAAGGATGTGGGGGTGGGAAGTGGGAAAGGAATCAGGATACAAGTGGAGAACAGTATTGAAATGTCCACGCTGGGGAAATGGCAGCAGATGAAGATTTAATATTAGGTATGCAGAAAGGAAGTTCAGGAAGTACTCATGTAATGACTTCGAAGTTTTATAGGAATTAGGAGTCAAGGTCATCTTGTGAGGATGAAAATACGGAGGTAGTGGAGTCAGACAGGTGGGGCAAATAAAAGTTCACCTCTGTGAAGAAATGAGAAAAGCTTCTGAAACAACAATATGGAAAATTGCTGGGCAGCACTCTGGCCTCCCCCTCAAATAAATATGCTTTGTTCCCTCTGCCTGGAATACTCCAAACATTCTTTAGACACAGCTCAAGAGTTATCTTTCTTGACTTCCACTTGTATGGTTAAAGTGCATAGGACTCAGTAAATTCTTCTACTACAACAATTATCATAGTATATTGTATGTCTTTGCTTATATATATATATTGCTTTTGCTTTCTGGGAACTCCTTGGGACTAGAACTCTGTTCTCTGTGTGTATTTATTTTGTTTTAATCATTCAGTCCTAATTGTCATTTAGGTGCCGGCCAAAATATGAGCATATAGAATTTTTTTTTGGTAGGTGAATAAATGAAATGCTATGAGAGATGGCGTTATTATTTCAACTTCATAGATGAAGAAGTGGCACTTCATAGCGATTAAATGTTAACAGTTCTGATCTCCCAGCCAGGTGGAGCCAGTGATAGCATATCTGATTATTTTCTCTATCATATGATAATTAAACTGCTATTATAAAGACTAATAATGGTTATAAAAACCATTAAATATATAAAAAACCTTACATGTTCAAAGTGCTTTCACACTTGATCTATTTTTGAGGTAGCAGTAGTGTTCAAAGAAACAAGTAACAATGAGATAAAACCTTATCAACGAATAAAATAATATGTGGGATGAGCGAAGCCCACGACCTGGCTAGGGAAGTGCTAGTTAAGAAACGGTGAGATGGGGTTGGGGCCTGTAATCCCAGCACTTTGGGAGACCGAGGTGGGCAGATCACATGAGGTCAGGAGTTCGAGACCAGCCTGGCCAACGTGGTGAAACCCTGTCTCTACTAAAAATACAAAAATTAGCCAGGCATGGTGGCGTGCACCTGTAGTCCCAGCTACTCGGGAGGCTGAGGCAGGAGAATCACTTGACCCTGGGAGACAGAGTTTGCAGTTATCCAGGATAGCGCCACTGCACTCCAGCCTGGAGGGCAGAGAGAGACTCTGTCTCAAAAAACAAAACAAAACAAAACACACACACACACACACACACACACACACACACACACACACACACACACACACACGGTGAGATTGGACCAGACTCCAAAGCTACAGAATGAGAATTCCTTACCCTTTACCAGCTGCCTCCTTTGTGCTCACTGTTCATCACCTCTTTTCTGTGTACTGTGTGTGTGCAGCAGTTAGTGGGAAGATAGGGTTCCTGATCTCCCATAACATTTTGTTTTTTTGGGGGGAAAGACTTTTATTCACAAGAGCCACTTGTCGGGGAACTGAGAAACTTACTATTAAATAGTTCTTGATATAAGTTTATATAAGTATTTGTATTATAGGGGATAAATATAAAAGTATGCTGGTGCATACTGGAGTTCATGAACAGGGTAACAAACGAAATAGGGTAAAAACAGCACAGAGAAGGCAATGAGCACATCGAGGGGCTGGAGTGATCTGATGAGAAGCGACAGATATTCGGCTCCCTTAGGAAGGCTTAAGGAGAGAGTTTAAGGTAGGACATTAAGAAATGGAGAATCAGTGGAGGATTTCAGTAGACAAATGACTTCATGAAATGGGAATTTTAGGATGATTAATCTGACAATGGAAAGTAGGATGAATTGGAGAATGGAGGGCAAGGAAGTAACGTTGAGAGGAACGTATTGTAATCCAAGCACAGGATAATGAAGTGCTACTGCACCACAGCGCGTGACGATGAGTTTGATGACCTATGAGAAACAGTGGGGAGGTAGGTTTCAATGGGTGACTCTCAGATGATAGCTGAGAAGCTGGTTCTAGTGGTGGAAGACACTGTATTATTCACTTCACTAACGGGGGTGTAAAATGTCAGAGCCATCATTTTATACATGAATCAGAGCTCCACCACCTTAATGAGTTGAAGGAGGTTTTGGAATATCACTTTGTACCTTTAAAAAGAATCATTATACTTTGCAGTAGTTTTTAAATGTTGACTCATTATTTGTAATTAAGAATATATACTTGTAAAATGTATGAACATTTGGATGATATATGCAATACTTTCAGACAACAGCTGTTAATATTTTGGTGTTTTCTTCTAGTCTCTTGTGGGGTGTGGGGTGTGTGTGTGTGACTACCATGGTCATATAGTTTTGTATTCTGTTTCTTTCTACTTACAACTATATTATGAGCATTTTTTCATGCCATTAAATGTTTTTAAAAACATAAAGACATATAAGATATATATAAAAGAGAGCTAAATGAGATGTTTATAAAAGAAAATAAAAATATGTAGTATCTCTGTATACAGGTATGTGAGAATTTATTTAATAGTGCTCTATTTTCAACTTTTAGATGATTGCCATCTTGCCACATTTTTCTATAATCATCATCCTTGCACATGACTCTTTAATCACACTTTAATTATTTATTTAGGTTGGTTTCTAAATATCACTTTATGACTTTCAGTAAATATTTTCAGATTGTTTTCACCAATTTACATTACTTTATCTAATTACATAGGTGAGTCTCTGTTCCACATGCCTTTGCTGGCTGGAAAAAATATTAAAGACAAAGTAAAAAAAAAAATTTATGTAACATGGTGAGGAAAAAACCCTCACATTTTTGCTTCAGTTTGCTTCCTTTGTGAGACTAAATGGTTTGTCATGCTTATTATATATTGATGTTTTTAAACTACTTTTAATCAGATTATTTGTGTTGTTCCTATTAATAAACATTATTTTTATGTCTTAAGACTAATTAAAGTTTGTCTTATTTTTGCAAATATGACCTAATAAGTCATTTGTATTGGGATTTTTATTTCTGATGATTTTACTATTTCAGTATTTATGTAGGAGCTTCTTTCTTCCATTGTTTTTATTCTTATGTATGATTTTTTTTTTTTTTTTTTTTTTTTTTTTGAGACGGAGTTTTGCTCTTGTTACCCAGGCTGGAGTGCAATGGCGCGATCTCGGCTCACTGCAACCTCCGCCTCCTGGGTTCAAGCAATTCTCCTGCCTCAGCCTCCTTAGTAGCTGGGATTACAGGCGTGCGCCACCATGCCCAGCTAATTTTTGTATTTTTAGTAGACACGGGGTTTCACCATGTTGACCAGGATGGTCTCGATCTCTTGACCTCGTGATCCACCTGCCTCGGCCTCCCAAAGTGCTGGGATTACAGGCGTGAGCCACCGCGCCCGGCCTCTTACATATGATTTTTAAAATTGTTTTTCAGTGTATTTTCTCTTTTCCTTATTACATTTAAAAATTTTTATTTTTAATTATTGTGGGAACAGAATAGTTGTACATACTTAGGGGGTACATGTGAAATTTGATACCATCACATGTGGAATGATCATTTAGGGTAATTGGGGTATACATCCCCTCAAGCATTTATCACCTCTGTGTTAGTAACATTCTAATTCCATTCTTTTAGTTATTTGGAAATACATAATAAATTATTGTTAACAAGAGTCACCCAATTGTGGTACTGAACATTAGATCTTCTTCCTTCTATCTTGCCATATTTTTGTACCCATTTTCCATTCACTCTTTATTTCCTCTTCCCACTATCCTTCCCAGCAGCAGGTAACCATCATTGTACTTTGTATTTCCATTAATGCAATCGTTTTTAGTTCCCACATGTGAATAAGAACATGTAATATTTGTCTTTCTGTGCCTGGGTTGTTTAACTTAACACAGTGTCCTCTAGTTCTATCCATGTTATTGCAAATGACAGGATTTCATTATTTTTTTATGGCTGAATACTATTCTATAGTATGTAGTATCACATTTTCTTTATTCATTCATGTGTTGATCAATGCTTACATTGATTCCATATCTTGGTTGTGAATAGTGCTGCGATTAGCATGGGAGTACAGATGTCTCTTCAATATACTGATTTCCTTTCTTTTGGATATATACCCAGCAGTGGGATTACTGGATCATACAGTAGTCCTATTTTTAGTTTTTGGAGGAACCTCCATATTGTTTTCTGTGGTGACTGTTCTAATTTACATTCCCAG